GCCATAGAACTCTCCCTAAACTCCGAGGAGGGTTGTATTGTGAGATTTAGTCTGACCCCTAACCATTGACCTGTCTGGTATGAGCCACTTTGATGGCACTTGGAGTGCTACCCAGCATAGGTCAATGGGTCACGGAGGTACGCAAACTATCGCACCACTTTAAGGTACAGTCTCGTTGTGATGTGTCCTGCATCGTGGCAGGTATCGTGACATATTCGTGTGGTACGTGCGCACTGTTCCGACGAAGTTTCATGAGAGTATTTTGTAGACGTTGTACCCCACCTCATGGTAATGCGATGTAGCGACTCTGTGTAGGAAAGTACGGCACATGAGAACCTCGGCCTCAGGAATGTTTGCACACGCTATCTACCCATCAGCTCAGTGGGGACCAGAAAGCAGTACGGGTGAACTGGTGCCCCACCATGCTTGCCGAATTTGATGGTGGACGTTCCAACGCTGTTTGGAAAATCCTTAGTGTTGATGAGACCTAGGTGTACGGTTTCGACCCCGACAATTAGCAACAAGCAGCTCAGCGGACGGCCGTCGGTGGGGCGCCACCTCAGAAATTCCGAGATGAGTGCAGTGGGCCAGGCAGATGATGGCCGTATTCGTGGCCAAGACCGGTCATGTGGCCATTATACTGCTTGTACCGTAACGCACAGTTACCGGAGACTGGTACGCCACCCACTGTCTGCCACAAGTACTCGAAGCTGTAGTCAGGCGTCGTCCAAGGACTCGGGCACGATGGACCTTTGTTGTATCATGACAACGCACCTGCACACAGATCTCATGTCGTAGATTTTCTGGCTAGTGAACGCATCCAGGAAGTTGGTCACGCACTCTACAGTTCAGACCTGGCTCCGTGTGACTTTCTTGTGTTTCCATATGTCAAGCGCATAATGCGTGGAGCCAGCTACGAGTCAACAGAAGCTGCAGCAGAGTTACTTGAAGAGTTACCAGCTTCGGCATGGTCTAGCTGTTTCTCCAAATGATTTGAGTGCATGGAACTGTGCAGATAGTACTTAGAGAAAATGTAATGATTATTTTGTTGTAAAAATTAAAACTTTGTGTGCATCTGGGAACGTATTGCCCTACCCTCGATATATTGCTGATGCTCTTCTTTCGTCTCATTTCTTCGTACTTGGATTGATCGGTGCAGAACTGAGCAGTGACAGAAATCTCCGTCGTGAATAAAGCAGATGAGAGTCACGATCATAAGATGGGTGATTCAAATGAAATCCCGTGCATTGTCACCATTCTGCCCTCCCACCTCAGTGGGACGAAGATACACAAGTATCGATGACAAATATCTAGACTCGGAGAGCGGACCAATTAGGAATAATGAACGAAAAGAGGAGAATCATAAGAACGCTCCTGAAATGATGGGAGCGGCGAGTAGCCGACAGAACAATTTCCATTCAGAAGCGAAGTAAGGAATTAGGGGGAATAGGAGCGGATAGTTGTACTTCATGTGACCGGTGCATCCTGAGTCATGAGGACATAGCTATCAGTTGCAGTCAGCACAATTGAGTAAGTGGTAAATTACTGCCGCATACTGTCGATATAGACGTCAAATGAAGAACTGAAGACAGCGGCGTTGCTGAGAGTGACTCAAAACGGTATATAAAGACATCCACCGGACGGTGGCACCAATCACCCAACACATTAAGGAGAGAAGATTCACTTTTCATAAACGAGGCTTTCGGTCGGAACGAGAGCATGGTGAGAAACAGGTGATTCTCACTGAATATATGTAATTTAGAGTGAAACTACTTGTCCGTCGATTTACTAGTCAATTAAAAGTTACGCACCTAATAGAATAGTATATGGCAATCATTAGGAAAAAGCAAAACAGCAACAAAAGATTAGGTAATATCAAGCACAGTTCCATGCAACCAAAAGTCACAAAAGAAGGCCGATAAAAATCAACAAAGCAATAAACCCGATAAGTTAGTATCCATTTTAAAAAAACCCGTTAGATTTTCTAGGAGGAGTGAAACATTTATTCAGTAACAAATAGTGGGAATATCAGCAGAATTTAGTTGAAGGGTTACATTTCCGAGCTATTCCAGGTAATCCCGTCAAAAAGAGACTGGACCTTAATGTGGAGAGACGGTTTGCGTACCTTCTTCACCCATTGAGCTATACTGGGTGGTGCCTCCGAGCCCCATTGAGAGTTTCTCCTACCAGCTTGGTCAATGGTGAGAGGTCATACGAACTCAGTCTTCTGGTCCTCCAGGTTGTGGGGTTGAAATGGGATGGCGGCCATTTCTGTAAAACTAAATCATTGCCACTTCCCCGCTGCCTGACGGACAGGCTTTTGAGCCAAAGGCTTTGATTGAGGACCCTAATCGTCCACCTGTCTAGGTCTGGGCGCATTGGCAGTATCTCAGCCCACATACAACCATGACTTTTTCTTCAAACAAACTTTATCCTGCATCGGCCGTCGCGCAGATTATCAAGGGTCGCCTTATATGCTGCATACAGCAGGGCGGATAAGCGAAGACATGCTATTTCTCTTACTTCCATCCAGACCACCACTACTAACCTTCCCACTATAATTACCAGGTTAATTGACAGCAACCGAAGTGCCACTGGAGTAGAACCATCTGCAGTCACCATCCCACAACACCCATCGGACGCTTGTCGGCAACAGACCCTTAGAACCCCACACTGTCCCGTTTCCATGGCGGCGTTCAACGTTCGCACTCTATGGCAAATAGGTCAACAGGCTGCACTCGCACGCACTCTGGACACACTGGGTATTGATGTGTTGTGTCCGAAACTAGTAGCAATGACCCTTACGAAGTAACCGCACCCGGTTTTTCCTCTCGCTATTGGTTGCACGCATCCGGAGACGCCGATGCAGCACTCACGGGTCAAGCTCCAAGGCTGAGCCATCGCGGGGCAGTGAAAGCAGCAAGGAAGCTGTCTCGCCGATGCCCATTTATCTTCATCATGGTTGTATGACAGCGAAGCAGCAGTTTAAATGGCTGATGTACTGGTGTTGTTGATGATTGCCTGATTATGAGGCGAGGCTGTAAAAGCCGCAAGGAAGCTGTCTCAGCGATGCCGCCTTATCTTTACACGATCGCCTGCTGTTTATGATAGTATGCTGTTAACACAACGTGTATGTGCCTTGACCCTGAACGTTTGTTTAGAGCATTAAGGTTTTCCCGTAAGTCACCCCTCTCTCCCTCTTATTATTCTTTATTCCATAGGTCATCATGGTTGTGTGGCAGTGAAGCCTCAGTTCATATGGCTGATGTACTGCTGATGTTGTTGTTGTTCCAGATAATCGCAAGCAGACAAGGTATTGTTGTAGTACTCAAATTAGATTAAATTGTGGACGTTGGAACGCCGCAAGTGCTAAGTTGAGCGGAAATCAGTAAAACTCTCGCGCTATGGCTGAGAATCGACAACAGTAGACGTAATACATCGGTGTTTGTAATGGTGCTCCGCAGCCATGTAAGTGAAATAATAAAGAGAAGGCCCCAGCAATGAGGCATTTGAAAGTAGATCTTCAAGTCGTCTTTCGTAGTAAAGTGCCTTGCATACCTTCAACAACAACGACGACGAGAATGACAACAACAACCTTAACTGCGAAGCAGCGTTACCAGTTTGTAGTAGAAGGCATCTTTGGGCGCATCAGAACGGTAGTCAATAGGGGCATAAGCGGAAACCACAAACAGCGTCTAGCACTGCTACGTGAATACATCTCAGCTGATGTTCCCAAACAGGCTGCGCACAAACGGCTGCTCACGGGAGTCCAATCGACCAGCGGCGACAGCCATGGAGCGGAGAATGATGGCTATTCCAATTTGACCAGTGATTGCCGCATCAGCGTCTCCGGATATGTGTCAGCAATAGCGAGAAGTCAAACCAGGTGTAGTAAGTTCAGCAACTAGTTGAAGGTCATTAATCTTAGTTTCGGACATTTAACACACGTCGACGCCCAGTGTGGGCGGAGGTGCAGCCTACTGACCTATTTGCTCTTGAGTTCGAACTTTTAACACCGCTGTGAAAACGACAAAGCGCAGCCTTATAAGGGTGCTGCCGATAGGCCTCTAGTGGGTGGTGCCGGAAGGTGGTCACAGATGGTAGGACTCCAGTGGCATTGCGGCTGCTGTCAACGAGTAATGGGGGTCCGGAGGGGTATGAAAGGGGTGGAAAAGAGAGATTGGAGGAGCAGCAGTAGCATGTTTTCGCTTATCATTCCTGCTGCATGCAGCAAATAAGGCGATACTCGATAATCTGCACGACAGCGGATGCAGGACGTGGTAGGATTTTGAGAAAGCAGTCATGGTTGTACGTAAGATACGTCCACGAGGTCCAAACTAGACAGGAGGACGATTAGGATCTACAACCAAAGTGTTCTGGCTGAAAAGTCTGTTCACAAGGTAGCGTAGAGGTGGTAATGATTTGGTTTTACAGAAATTGACGCCGTTTGATTTCCAGCCTCCAGCATGGAGGACCAGAAGGCTGAATTCGTCTGACCGATCCGGTAGACGTAGCTTTCAAGAGGCTCGGGAGACCACCTAGTATAGCTTAATGGATCGAAGAGGTACACAAACCGTCGCACCACGTTCATGTCCAGTCTCCTTGTGGCGTGAGTGATCTTACTTGAAATTCACTCCCGAGAAACAAAATTTTCTGGACTATGAGAAAAGATCTCATCTCGGCACATGTGCTGCGTACCACCTCTGCCTAAAGAGTATCCGGATCATGGACTTGGATGATACACACGTTGCAACAAGTGAATAAGGGGGAAGCTTGATGTTCACCAACTGCCAATAAGCTTAGTTTCTAAGACAATATAGAAGACCGTTAGCAGGTTCTCGCCCTCCGTAAACTTAACATAAGAAGATATTAAATTGATGCCCGATGTGTATTTGGCTGGGACTACTTGCCCACCTTGACAGAATTATTCTCAGAAGTGACCTACGAACCGGGGTGAGTATGAAGGCAACCCCATAGTGTGGAAGAATTCACCAACTTACCGAACGCCAGAACAGCCTTGCGTGAATAACTGCGCTCCAAGCACGGTCAGTTTTTTCAACGTGTCCGTTTCCTTGCTGGTCAAGAGCCCATTGGGGTCACACTGGACTAGAGGATTCAAGTGCAAAGCTAGCGAGATGGGGTTGTCAGCTGTCGCCATCAGGTTCAATCCGAACGATTTGGCCAACTTTTCTAGTCCATCTTTCAAGCGATTGAAACATGCACAACGCCGCTCGGTGAGCTCACGCCATCCACGAAGACCCAGATGGAGCAGTGTGGCCAGCACATCCACGGATTGAGTAGCTGAGGCTCGACCTATCAGGAAAGCAGGAACCGTGTTAAGAGATTTGAAACGTAGGTATCGTTTTTTGTGATCACTAGTGCAGACCTGCGCACGACTTTCGATAACTCGATAGAAGGTTTATTGGTGGAGCACAGCGCTTCTTCCCGATGAATATTTATGGAATTGGCACTGTCGGATAGCTACTCAGTAACTCAAGCGTCCTAACTGTGCCTAAAATTGACGCAACCGAGAGCGCGAATCAGTGGACTACTGTCAATGATGGCAAATACACCGGCGATCTGGTTGCCACAGGACAAATGAGTGTGAACGGAATTACTGTACCACACTTGCACACAAATAATATGAGTAAAGCTAATAAATTTCATAAAGTTCATAATTCCGCCAGCGTTTGTCTTCAGTGAGTCGTCAGAGTAGTGCAATGAATCACGTACCGGAGCTAACTACTGTCGAACCAAAAGGCGATGACGCGTTCGTATTCAACGTCTAGATGTAACGCAGTTAGACAGCCTACTGGTATGAAATCAATACTCAGTCATACTACCTGGATATGATTTGGCAACAGCATCTACCAATTCCGAAGAGAATCCTGCCACAACGGCTCCTCCAACAGGGACCAGCAGGTTTTTGTCCGTGCTTTGGACGTACAGCATATCAATCGCGGTGGACGGCAGTGGAAAATGCTTCTCATTACAAAGTCCGGGAGAATCCGTGGGATGTCCGCATTTGGTATCACCTAGAAAAGAAGCAGAACAGAGAATAGTAACAATCACAACATTTGATCGAAGAACGCACTTTTAAAAGTTGCGAGAGTATGTGACGGACACTGCTTTTTGGCCACATCTGATTCATTCCCTCAAGCTGTGTCAGAACCGTTTTCCGTTGCCGACTCTATCGCGCCTGGTTATCATACCCACCATCCGGGTCACGTGCAATCACTGGGGTTGCGATCAGTATTTGCTTCTGGTTGACACCCACTTTGGATTGTGTGCACGCCCTAGTCCCCCTTGTCTTCGCTTGCTTGCACCTCATCACGAACTTGTCCATGCTGGACATGTTCCCTGGTTGTATGTTAAACCTGTGTTCGTGTTTCATCTGGTAACAGCGACGCCATCTGCTTAACCTTTCCATGGGCATAACCTTACATTTTCGTCTGCCGCGTTATTCCCGTGTTTCCGGCGCTGTGTTAATCAGTGAGAGAATCAGAATGAGGTTTTTTTCATGACTGTGCTCATCCGCAGCTAACTATGGTTGTGCTTACAATGTGTGGACTCGTTTTTGAGCATGTACTGATCGGACAGCGTGGAGGTTTGTCCCGTTTTATTATGAATATCTCCATGAGTAGTGGCTACTGAAGTTGCCCTTCCGCTCTTGAATGGGTTTGGTCGCCTAAACATCTCAGCCCGCACGCAACCGCTTGGAGGTGTGTCAAGGCGAGGTACCAGTTCACAGTGTTGGTGTATTGCTGACACCACCTTCATGGCTGTAGGATGACTGAAATTCGAGATTCAATCCTCTTCCCCTTACTATTTCTAATCCGGACACTTACTCGCTCAAAACTGTTTTGTCACGAGACAGCAATGAAGAAAAAGCAGAACAAACGATAACGAAAATAAACTGAAATGACAGCAAAAATACCATGAAAGCAGGAGCGCTATTCACCATCAGATGACGTTGGCTAAGGTAAGTTTACTACCACAAACAAATCCTCCGGTTAGCATCTATTCGCGCCTCTAATACTCCTTAACACGTTGGGCCGTTGCCAAACCAGTAGACAAAACAGGCGAAGGCAATCGATCGGTGCACCAGCGGATACATGAACCAGATGATGATTTCAAGACCACTATCAACCAAACCACAAGCAGACGCGAGGTGCTTTTAATTTAAGGCGTGGCCGGTGGTGCTCACGTGTGGATCTGACTTCACCTCTTTAGGCCACAGGCATGCGGTGTCTGCTAAGCCCCGGTGAACTGGCAGTACTCTGATGCACTCACTCCGCAGTTGGTGGTCACGTGGTACTTTATATACATATATATATATATATATATATATATATTGCAACAGTGTGAATAGACATTGAGCCATCGGAAACCACAGAACACAAAACAAGGTACAGAAATAGTAAAAGAAAACACAACACATCAAAGTCCATGGTTTCGTCAGAGGGCGAGATACTACCCGGTTGCCCAGGCCGAAGTAGGGTGTTGACTTAGGGGACACCACCCCGAGCCTTTGGCTGAATAGCCTACCCGCAAGGCAGCGAAGCGAATTCAGGGAATCGCGCCCATTGGGAGCCGGTGACTGATTGCTCAGTTCATCTACCTTTCGTTTGTTCCTCTGTCAAACAGGGGCCCAATGCTCCCGAACCACCCAGCTAGCACCACGAGGAGGTTGCTCGGCAAGTAAAAAAGAAAAACAACAGCACTGAGTTACCACTATACTAGCGTTCCGTTGTCACACAAACACAATGATAATAAGACGACCCTAGCCTCAAAGTTCTGGAGCCACTTTTACGGCTAAAAGCTATGAATTGCATGAGTGCTGAGAAGTCGCAGTACGCATTTGGTTGATGGGAAATAAACCGACACTATGTATTTTGCTTATGGTCCGACAATGGTCGGCAAATAATGTCCACGAATCCACTGTGAAGTAACACCAAACGCAGAAAGCTGTAGTTACCTCACACGTGCCTCAAGAAGAAGATGGAGGGTATATGGTGGCAAACGACCGAGCTATGGCGGATTTCACAAACAGCGTTTGCAAAATATTGACCAGTACAGCAAGTTCCCAGCCACTGATGCCCGGCATCGGAGCCAGGAAAACACAGGTGGCTAACTGTGCGCGAATTGTGGTTTCGCTCACCAATTCCTCCCGCGGTGAAGAGTCCTCATACAGATTGAAGAAAGCATCAGTCGTTCCAATTCAAATGGATAAATCGCTTCATTGTTGGAACATACATCATTCCTTCCGGAGTGACAAAAATAGACTTCGTCCCTCTCTTCTTCCCTGAGGCATATACATACCCGAATGAGATATACTCTGCTACTTATAGCATCTGCGTTTGTCGTCACTTACGCCACTGCTATGCATTTTATGATGCGTCACGCAGTATGTATGTGGTCACAAAACAAACTTCTCCAAGGGATCATTACTCGAGTAACATAATTACTGATTGTTAGGAAGGAATACGCGAGTCGAACAAGCCAGGTCCCCATCGCCGCGGCCGACGATCCAAACTCATCCGCCCTGATGGGGGCGAACAGCGAGCCAACCAGGATAAGCGGCCAATGAACGCTAGGTCGAAGTTCCTTTAGTGGCTGTAAGTTAGACTTTCCAGAGCTTTCCACGGTCGCTTTAAATAATATTCAGGAACTTTCCATTTTACCTTTATAAAGAAAGGTGTGATTTGCTAATTCATCCCTGTTGCTCCGCTCGTCCGATCCGGTCTTCTGTCTGTCCTCTCGGGGATCAGCGACTTCGGGTTTGATTGGAAATCAAGCGTCCATTTAGGCGAGGGACGAACACTTCAGCTGGCGAGGGAAGTGGGACACGATGTTATTTATTTTGTATGTTATTTATTTTACTCTCATCGTTGGCCACGACTTGGCCTATCTGAGATGAACTGTGAAGCTTCTAAGCTAATCAGTGTTTCCACGCAAGGCGAAATGCTACAAAAAGTGCTATACTCAGTAAGGTTAAATGGGTCCAATGGCCAAAGTAACCACTCTGATTACATATAGAAATGACCCGAAGAATGAGTTAAAGCGGTGAGGGCCTGTTTGATTTTACGTCACACTGGGACGCGGTCAGATGTGCGTACAATTGTGAGTGAAAACTTTAGTGGGACTACCCGACATGAAAACAAGTCCCCAGGAGACGGTTCCACGAATGGCCGCATTACTTTAATGGAAATGAAAACAGAGAGACCACTTGGTGAGCAATTGTTTTCGATGATTCATCTTCAGACCGATACAATCATATATAGGGTTAAAAAAAGGGTAAGATCGACATAGTTGATACAATTAACGTAGGGTAAAAAATCGAAAACGGGTTAATTAAAAGTTACGGGTTTCTTGATCTTGCGCCATTGACCTCATTATCATCCGCTTTTGCGGGCCAGGGAAGCTAAACAGCCTTAATTAACTTCTGTTGCGAGCATAACAATGGTCGGAATGATCGAATACAAATCGATTCGGCCGTTGCGAGTGTACGGAGACGTTGACCCTTTGACCGGTGCGGCGGAACTCTGTATACTACTCTAAAGTTACGTTCTAGATCCACTTGATGTCCGCTGTCCACAATATGAGCCAGGATAGAGCTACTAATGGCTCCAGTGCCACCTCGACGTAGCCAACGCGGACTATGTTCGTTTATGCGTTTGGACAGGAACCTTTGACTGTCTCCTTTTCTTTTTAAAATCTGCTGCAACCCCCGCTCCATCTTAATGTATTTGTCCGCTTCTGTGGTTGTAACATGACTGTACAATCCTGATCATGCCGGAAGGGGCATGTTTCGTGAAACCGGGAATAGACCGTCTTATTATTACATTTATTAAGTAAATAATTAAATGAGAGCAATATTTATCAGGAGTTCACCCAACCCGCATGCAGTCTGCCTGTAGCTCATCAATCACCCAAATGCACATAGGCTGCCTATGTGTCATTCCCTATCTGGTAGTGGGAACACTAAAAATGAGTGAGTTACGTGGCCAAATGGAGTGCATGCATGCGCTGCAATTAAAATAGCACCATTCAGAATTGGTCAGATGATAAAACCATGGGAACCAGATATGCAAATTTGCCACAGACGAGGCTAGTTAACAAAGCAGAAGCGTACACAAGCGGCTTGTCAAGCTAAGTCAGATTCAACGTAAGACACGTTATAAGGGTCGAGTGAAATTGGTATACACAGTCGAATTCGAAAAGCTTTTGTCAAATGTAAACCTTAGTGGAACACAGGAGATTCGACAGGTGACTAGATAGACGGTCGGTTGGGAATCAATGTCGCGAGAATCTGGTTGATTTCGGATTCTACTCACCAGAGTCGTCTGCGACGCAAAGAATAAAATGAAGAGATAAGCGAGAGAAAATCTAGGCCACAGCGCACTATAGAAACAAACCTTTGGTTATATTGCTGCCACGGAACGAGACAGACTAACCAGTCGTGTTGTGTATTAACGCCGTGTGCAACCTGATACCAGGGTATAGGTAGAAGACATCGTCGCTATAATCATCAACACTAACACATGAGCAATTTGAACTGGTGCCTTGCTGCCATGCAATAACTATGATGATCTAGGGAATGAGAAATGATACGAAAAAGAAACGCGAGGTCTGGTGTAAAACATAAGTGCCCTAAACAAGGTGTCTACACCTTACCAACAACATACGGTCATAACCGACTGCACCGCGCCATACTCAGCCTGAGGTGTATTCACGTGAGCGTGCACCGTTGTGCGTACGCAAGCGGTACATGTGTTCAACATGGTTCAGCGCGTGAATAGACAAGTTGGAACAGGCCCGGTGATCGATGCGGTTTGTGCAGTTCAGGCGGCAATCGAAATACGCCAGTAGCCTACTTGGAAAATGGTCGCCTCATGTGTGTGAAGTGCCCGACTATAGCCAATGCACAACATTATATATTGTGAAGTCGAAGAAGTCTATACAGCTTCATAAACAGCTGTGGTATGTGGGTAGCAGAAAAGGAATATCAAGCAAGCCGCCCACAGCAGAGCTGAGCTGGCCCTCAGAAAATAAACCCATGACTACGTGGTAGCAGATGCCAATTATTCGACGATCTGTGAACCGCATATCTAGCCTAGAGAAACGGTCGAATAGAGCAGAAAAAGAATGAGGCGACACTCACACAAATACGTGCGATGGAAGGCCGTCACAAAGATAGCATGTATTCAGTGAGGTTTGAACATATCATTACACAATGTGTGATATTTCCAGTATGATATCGCACAGGAACACAATGGTCATCGGGTTCTGCCTATTAGTCAACTAGAAACAGTGTCGAAGTGCGAAGAGTTCAGCTGACATTGATCAGCAACGTCATAACAGTAATAATGAAAAGATTGCGAAATTGGGGGAAGTCTGTGGACATAGTGACGAGAATTTTGTCGGAAAGAAGTTAAGATACAATCTTTAAAGGACAATGTTGATGGGTGTAAATGATGGATCGGATAACAGAGCCACGTTGCCCTCGCGGCTGCGCTGTGTGAAACGAGGCGGCTATCCACCCATGTAGCCGACCCCAAGGTCGCCATTCAGGAAGACCACATGCCCTGGGATGTTCAAAATGTTCTGCAAATTTCTTCACATCATCGCACCATATAAGTGGCCGTCCCACTGGATGGTTTGCCCGATCCCGATTGGTATCCGCAGGTAACACGCCATCCGAAGAATGTTATCTAGGCATCGCAGGCAGTTGGAGCGAAAAATGTTACCAAGCGCCAACGCGCAAACTTGAGAACTGGCCCAACCAGGCGTGAGCGAATTTTCACGAGCACTGGCGGCCAAAAAGACCCTTAAACGCGCAATACGCGTGCCTCTGATCCGCACAGCAACACTGGCAGAACCGCCAAGTCGTATATGCTACTCTTCGATGGTGAGCCGATACCCTACTGCATTCACAGAAAGCAGAAATTTTGGAAACCCACACTGGTCTAATCGATGCGCGTGGTAGACTCTTGAGTGAACTGACCATAACAGATGACAGAGCCACCTACATTGATGAACCGATAGATTGATTTCAGTGGATGTAGCGACTTGTTAGTCAAGATTGACTACGGAACGATGCAGGGTGGGATAAATGAAAGATAACTGTCGGAGGCAAAATATGAAAACACACCTACTAATACTAAGTCTTTCACCTCAAGGTCGTCAGATGGAGTTTCTCCAGAGCATGCTTTTCGGCCTTGCAGTATCAAATGACCGGCGGCTTCAATCATCCGCATACATCGAACCGACTGTACACCATACGCGTTGTTGATTAGATGTGATACGCCATGTTCTATACAGGCATCGGTTATGGCATGCAACCTGTGATAAAAAAGAGAGAGTAAATCTGCTTGTGAACATATATGGCGTCCAAACACATCCCCAAATACACAATGAACCGTCAGCGATTTCGATCATAAAATTTCATGCGAATGCACGTACTGAGCAGCTATGGTAGAGTGCGTAAGATACATAACGGAAGGAAGAGGAATAACTAAATGGTACGTTCTCAACAGTTTCATTAGGAGCTACGTGAAAGATCAAGCCTGCAATAATTGACTCTTTTGTGGCCGACACCTAGGGAAAAACAGACAACGCCAACAGACGCTGCAACCATCAAGTCAGTGTGCAGCAAGGAGTGCTCATTAATACGTTGTTGAGCCCAGTTAAGATGCATATGGAGAGAAGTGGTTTGCGAATGTTTTAAAGTAGTCAATCAGGAATGTGGGTATTGCCTATGCAGTTGCCAAGCAACACTGCGAGTCGGGTTAGCTTCAGAGAGAACGAGATACCTCGTCGTAGCTAGCGAGATGAGTAGGGTATCCACTGAATAAGTTGAAAGGAAGAGGAAAGGCATAAGAAGTATGCCGGTACGTAGTACCGCCGCTTCGCTGTCGGGCAACCACCACCAGTCGCACGTGGGCTAAAGATACTGTGAAGGTCGCCCGATCCGTACGCAGACTCGAACGCGCGCCCTCAGATTACAAGGCAGGCTTGTGATCTTTAAGCCTTTTGACCGAGTGAAGACGCAGTTACAGAGCGAGATAAATTTAGTTAGTTCCACTTACCTATCCGGTGCTCGTGGGGAAAAGCAAAGTGTTGTGCTCAAAACACATACGACCGAGTCTGGTCCGCAACGTTCTGCATCTTCCGCGACAATGCTGTGGGCGCGAGCGGATTCGGGCCAATGTCGGAGTAAATAAGCAGCCGGATGTTTCAATGCTTCTCGCAGCGCGGGGATATCACAATTCAGTTGATCACAGCAAGCTTTAGCGCATTTAGGATCGGGGGAACCTTCGGTGGGCTCAATAGGGATGGGAATAAGACCTGCGGGTAAATGTGAGCAAATCGTGCAGTTGACGGCTTAAATTTGCCACTATATATGAGGGGGGAACAGCGAGTAAAACAGAACAATTCAAAGTGTAAGGCTGAAGCGAATACTCTGTTAATAATCAGGCGTGGCCGCGACGTCAAGTCAAAGTAAGGATTGTACGTCCCAAAAAGCGCGAGGCGTTTTCAATGAGTTACGCCACATGTGACGCAAACACGTCACAATTCCAAACCAAAAGTGATGCGTGTTTGAGAGCTACGGGTACCCGCGGCGAAACGCGCGCCGCGACCCGTGGTATCTATCTACCTCTCAGCAAGAGAAACGAACTTTATGGAATAAACACAAACAAACGTATTCACCAAGGATCAACGACCACACACCAGAGCCTTGTGCCTTGGCTTCATTTTGAGCACAACAGCATCAAGGATACTAAATTACAAGGATATACATGACGCGAGAGCCAATGACGAGTCGGGGCTTTTGGTAACGAGTTCCTTAAGGGCAAAACGCCCCTCGCTGCTGCGCTAGTTTTGCAGTCGATTCATGCCCTGGACGCCTCGTGGTGACAATTGGGTGGGAGTTGGGTTACACCCTACTTCTAGTTAAGTGCCAGGATACATCCGCGTAAGCCGTTTGACTCATGGTATAATTCCAGCTGTATTTCGGAATTACATTTTATCGAAAGCTTTGGTTGAGGTCCAGGTGACTTTCTTTTCAGGTATGGATGCCCGAGCAGCATACCAGTCAAACTACAAAGGTAAACTTCACAAAGAATAGTTTCATGCGACATCCGTCTTCGCGCAAGGGGAAGGGTTCCCCTTGTCTGCTGCTGACAGTGATACAGATAAGCGAAAATATGCTACCATTAACACCTTCTTCCCCTTCACATCCACATTCTTCTTTCTAAGCTCCCCATAACGCCGTCTGATCTATCTTAACTGATCTAACTCCCAATCCGAACCATCACCGCAGCGATTGCCCGGTGCAATCGCATGCCTCTATCTAAAGCGTTCAACAACGGGTGCTAGAACATGCGTCCATTAGTGGACCGGAACAGGAATCGGTGTCCCAAGAGACGCACTGCAGTTGTCCCCATGGAATCCAGTCGTTACAGCATTGATATTGCCGTACTCAGTGAGACTCGGCCTCGTAGCAAGAGCAAGTTGCATGTGGATGATGCTGGCTGTACGTTCAAATGGGTTGGAAATGACAACACCACCACCACTATCCGACCACCCATATATATATATATATATATATATATATATATATATATATATATATATATATATATATATATATATATATATATATATATATATATATATATATATATATATATATATATATATATATATATAATATAACCTGTGGTACAGATCTTGTGACATCGGAATAGTGGCGGAATAAGATTAAAAAACAGATAACGTTTTAGTCCAGCTTTTCCCTTAATTTTTTGACTGTTTTGTTAGGGGAAAGGTAGGGGATTACCGCAACACTGAATTCGGTCTTGTGTTATGAGTTCCAGCAACACTACATATCTCTGAGACCGCAATCACTGAGTAGCGAATAACCGACCGAGACCAACAGTTTCCTCAGCTTATTCATGCCGTTACTCCAAGCCATAGGCTGTCCACTGCGCCGCCTCTTCTAGCCCCGTCCAGCAAGTGCGAATAATGCACGACGCAGAAGACACCGAGTGGGCAGGCGCAATACGTGTCTAAGCCACCGCAACTGACGCAGCGAAACGAGTTTCTCGAGCGAGTGGTGGCCTCCACCCAAGACGCGCTAACTTCCACATTGGTTACGTGGTGCAGTCACCACCCACGTACAATGGGTTTCAAACAACGGTGCTCGAAGACAGACGGACGGCGCAGGTCAACGGTACGAACAGACCAAGTCTTGCAACCGTAAAACGATACAGCGCGGACAGTTGTACAACAAACCCACCCTTTGATGGAGAAACAGGCTTCATAGCGGCGTAACAAGTGCCGCAGTCTGGAGAAAGCGACACGACCTATTGTGATACGCATCGAAATCTTGGGTTAGCACACACGGTCCCAATATGTGTTATCCTGTTAACACAAATGATCAGTTTTACTCTCAGCTATTCTCGGTGTAGGGACCGACTATTTCCACTGACTACAACGCGAGCGTTGGGCGTCATTCGCGGTGTGGACAGACGTAATGAGTTGTATCGTATTGGCCCAGCCAATGAGAAGAACGGCCGCCTACTATCAATGTGTGCCACTCACGGCCTGACGATCACGAACACCAGGTTTGCGCTAGGTGTGATGCATCCACAGATTGGTCCCGCTAACCTGATCAACAAATGTCTTCGTACGCTAGCATGACATGCGTGAATGGCACAGGACACGTGAAGCTAATGTGGAACTGATGGCAAGTTGGTGTGCAGCGAAGTATACCTCTATTTTCTTAAATCCATATTCCTCTGTCTTGAATGAGTGGTAACTTAATGTTCTTCCACTAGGTAATGTGAGTAAGCTGCATAAAATAATGGCCATCCGCTCAAGCATAAGCGTACCAATTGGCTTGATGATAACAGTGAGACCATTGATGAATTGGTGTCAAAAAGAATGCGGAATTCGGTGCACATGCACAGCTCGAAGATGGGTAGGTTTCGCAAGAAGCGTTAGTACCTGTCTCTGGAGCTACGTCGCATAGAGAATGGTGAGCAGAAAGGCTGGGAAGATGGAAAGCTACGCCTAACGCCACTAGCATAAGAAACTCTACAACTACCTCAAGCCGTATATGGATCCACGTTGCAACGTATGAAAACCTTGGAAGACACTGCCTCGGACGGTGTCTGTACACAGTCTGTGGAAGTGATGTAGCGTAAACACCTCGACGGTCCCTTGAACAACCGTTCAAAGACTAACTGGAATGGGGTACATGGGTTGAAACAACAAATTATGTAAGATGGTATTGCTGACACCCTGGGCATGCATGAAACGCAGAGCACCTGCTCAACTGCGAAGCGGTAAGTGTGTCAATGCCGCGTGTTGAAACACAGCGGACCTGCTTTGCTACATATACTGCACCATTTGGTGGAACGCGCGTGGTTTGTAGGACAGATGCCAGCTGAGCTGAAGGATGCCCAGTGCTACCACTATACAAGACCAAAGGAAACGAACGATGCCAGCGACTACCGTGGCAGCAAATTCCTGAGATGTATCAGGATCTTTCACAATCGCTTCGTCAGTCACGAGCTGGAACCAAACGTGGACGAAGAGCAATGCGGCTTTCAGTCGGGCCATAATTAACTGCATGAAACCAAATCTACTAGCTCCTTGTCGAGTTCACCATGGCATTTGATATGGTGAACCGCGAGGTGATTTGAGTGGTGAATACATTTGGATGTCCTGGGAAGTATATTCGCCCAGTTGTACGTCTTCACAGTGGTGTGCAGGAGAGGGTGCGGCTTTGTGGATAAACCTCGAATAACTTTAAGGTTGTCACAGGTGTGAAGCAAGGCTGTCATAGCCCATACTCTGTTTAATGTCTATCTATCCAACGCAAATGAATACGGTGAGCGCCTCGAGCACCGTATCAATAGCGAGTTGCTGAAGATAAATCGTTTATAGGCGAGAACCCGAGTGCGTGAGACAACTAACAGGATGTTGTTGATTGTAGACGATTACGCATTGTTTGAACACGGCAAACATGAGTTCCAACGCATGACGACGGTTATCGTTTGGACAGTGGCCAAGTTCGGACTCATCGTCAACACAGATAAGACTGTCTGCCACTTTTAACCTTCATTAAGTGTGGAAACTGTGCTATCGACAAATGAAAATTGCTAATATAGTATTGGAGACCACATCAAAATTTTGCTACTTCAGGAACACGCTGTTAAACGTTTTGCAGATGACATGCGAATTGTGCACCCTTGTATTATCAGAGGTATATGCCGCTTTTGTCAAGGCGGAGTAGTGGGTCTGGAAGAATTACCAGCTGGTTCTCGTCTATGGTAGTGAAACATAGACGCTACACAGGAAGGACATTCGACGTGTGGTGAGTTTCCATCAACAGTTCCTGCATCGGATACTACGCATCCGTTGGTGTGACAAAGTACTTGACGCACAAGTGTTCGGTAGGAGCAGTACGTACGAAAAGGAGTGCATACTGTTACTGCAACACTCGGATATGTCGCCGTATGGATATGACTGAAATACTCAAACACCTACTATATGCAACTGCGTACAGGCTGGCGGAACTTGGATAAACCGAATATGCGCAAACAGAATATGATCGAAACGATTCTATCATGAACAAATGTTGATTTCAGACGTTGGGAAGCGATGGTAGTGAGTCGCTGTCAATGGCGTGATCGCGTCAGGAATGCCGTTGCCCAGACTCACCAGAAAGGACTGCTACGGGCCACCAAACAACAGATACCGAAGGAGTCGGTTGACGGCGCGCATGGTACCATAATACATGCGAACATGTGCCTCGGCCGATTCAGTCTGGGAAGCCAGAAATGTGGACACGAAGAGCTAATATCCAAGAGCTAACAGGTAAGTTAAATGGGCAAGTTTCAGCGCGGAGTGAGTCCACTGATTCTCTTCTCATTAACTAAACTAAGCCGATAAAGCGGATGATGTGGCACGTATTCAGCATCGTTACCGCAGTCAGCCTGCACATGCACCTGTGAGTTTGCGTTGTCGTATGCTGGCGTTTATCGATTGGTATCCGGTTGCGACTGATGTAAATGTTGACAAGGTGCCTACCTGTCGATAGTCCGAAGCTGTTCGCCGTGGCCCAACGGCATAAGCTGCTGACTGGCAGTGCAAGCCATTGACAGTAAATGGCTCGAATCCGGATAGATGCGTACTACTGATGACACCCAACAGGTCGAAATTGCAGTCTAGTGCTTTTCCGGGATTGTGAAGGACTATCTGATTTGGAAGCTGGTGCGACGAACTCTCAATTAACTACAACGAAAATCTCCTACTCGTGAATATATGGTTGATGT